ACCCCCTACTGGGGCTGTGCCCACAACCAACGTACATGCCCTTGACCAGAATCGAACCTGGGACCTTTCAGTCCGCAGACCGACGCTCTACCGCTGAGCCAAACCGGTTTCGGCTGACCAATAGGACATTTTTAAGCAGAGGCATAAAAATCCCTAGTGCTGTTAGGTGTGCTCTTGAGGGTGAGAGACACATAAAGCAGAGTTGAATCATCATAATGAGGCTATCCTAGATCAGCCCAGCCACCTCCCAACCAAAGGCACCCAACCAAAATCAGCGAACTGTCTAGGCAACCACCCTAGATACCTGAGAAATTAACAGTTACTATATAACACTGATGTTATGTGGTTAGTTGTTTCTTAGCATTACTGCAGCATTAGATAATTAACACATAGCTCTGTCACAAGTGTTAGCCCTGTCTCTCCAATTAATGGTGGGGAGTCCCTTTGGGAAGGGCCTTTTTTCAGGAGGATGCTAAGTGAAAGCTTGTGAAAGGAATGAATGAATGAACCTTTGTTCAGTCTTTAAGAAGGAACTTTAATGCTTTGCTCACAGCAGGTGCAGAGTTCCTCATAACCAAACAGTGTAATCAAATGAACCCACCCACAGAAAATCTGGTTCAACAAGATATGTGAAGCTACAGTATAAATAAATTCTCATCACAGATTAAGGTACTTTTCTTCCTCAAGTACAATGGTCATTTCTTAAACACGGTACTCTATTTTATATTCTATTAATACTGTATAGATTAGTTCACAGGTAATCTAAATCCTATAAGTACACTTTAAGGAGTAGAGTGTAAATAAGTGGATATGACGCAGTCTAGATATCCTTCCTGTTATCTTCAGTACACAATACCAAATCATTACTGATATTTCCTAATAAAGTCAAGAAACTAGAATTGCTTTTTAAAATATTATTTATATTAACATAAAAAATAAAAAGAGAATTTTTACTAGGATTCTGCAGAGGAAAATATAATATTGGTCGGCAACTACGTAATTGCGGATTTTTTAAAGAAAATCAAAGACAATTTTTTCATGGAACTAAATAACTTTTTTCTGTAATGTATTGCCCATTTTGATCAATGACCTTTTGCCATCTTTCAGGCAGCATCATAATCCCACATTCAAAAAACTTCTGGTTTTTATTAGCAAAAAACTGAATCAGGTACGATTTGACATCATCATCATTATTGAAATTTTTACCATTCAAGGAGTTTTGTAAAGATTGAAACAAAAAGTAATCAGATGGTGCAAGGTCAGGACTATATGGTGGATGTGGCAAAACATCCCAACCAAGCTCCATTAATTTTTGCCGAGTGACCAAAGATGTGTGTGGCCTTGCATTGTCATGATGGAATACAACACCTTTTCGATTTGTCAATTCGGGCCGCTTTTCTTCAACTGCATTGTTTAATTTCGTTAGTTGTTCAATGTAGACATCAGAATTGATCGTTCGGTTGGGTGGTAAGAGTTCAAAGTAGACAATTCCTTTGTAATCCCACCAAACTGATAACAAAACCTTCTTTTGATGAATATCAGCTTTTGATGTTGTTTGAGTTGGTTCACCTGGCCTGCTCCACGATCTTTTCCGCTTGATATTGTTGTAAACAACCCATTTTTCATCGCCAGTTATCAGTCGTTTTAAAAATGGATCATTTTCATTACGTTTCTTTAGCAAATCGCAGCTGCTAATGCGTTGCGTTAACTGTGATTCTTTCAGTTCGTGAGGAACCCATGTATCGAGTTTTTGAACATAGCCAAGTTGTTTTAAGTGATTTTCAATGCATGTATGTGATACATGAAGCTTCTCTGCAATCTCACGTGTTGTACTGTGACAGTCCGAATTGATTATTGCTTTGATTAGGGCGTCATCAACTTCAACTGGACGACCAGAGCGTTTTTCATCTTTGAGTGAAAAATCACCAGAACGAAATTTGGCAAACCAATTTTGACACTGCCGTTCTTTTAAGGCTTCGTCACCATAAACAGCACATAACTTTTTATGAGCTTGCGATGCGTTTTTCCCTTTGCGGAAATAAAAAAGCACAATATGACGAAAATGTTCCTTTTGATTTTCCATTTTTCAACGAACGCCAAACGAAAACTACAAAACAGATCAAAAAACTTTTTTTACTGATTAACAGCTGAATAGCCAACTATCAAATAACAAAATGTGTTTTACATTTGTACTACGTCTGCAAACCTAAAAATTCAACTGAAGCCATATATGTGTGAAACCCGCAATTTCCTAGTTGCCGACCCAATATATCTAGTAGCCTAGCCATGTATGGAGTGGGATGGTGAGAACATCATTCTTATAAAAGGTCATCAATTGGTTCTCTGATCCTCCTGTTCATCAGCCACATCTTTGCACAATACCAGCTGCAAACCTCAGACACGATGGTGAAAATCAGAGTGAACAGATTTGGTCATATTGGGTGCCTGGTCACCAGGGCTGCTTTTAACTCTGGCGAAGTAGATATTGTCACCACCAGTGACTCCTTAATTAACCTCAAACACATGGCCTACATGTTGTAGTATGATTCTACTCATGGAAAGTTCAAAGGCACAGTCAAGGCTGAGAACGAGAAGCTTATCAATGGAAAGTTCATCTCTATCTTCAGGAGCAAGATCCTGCCAAAATCAAATGAGAGATGCTGGTGCTGAGTGTGTTGTGGAGTCCACCGGTGTCTTCACTACCATGGAGAAGGCTGGGGTTCACTTGAAGGGTGGAGCCAAGAGTGTCGTCATCTCCGCCCCTTCTGCGGATGCACCCATGTTTGTGATGGGTGTGAACCATGACAAGTATGACAAACTCCCTCAATATTGTCAACATTGCCTCCTGCACCACCAACTGCTTGGCGCCCCAGCCAAGATCATCCATGACAACTTTGGCATCATGGAGGGACTCATGGCCACAGTCCATGCTGTCGCTGCCACCTAGAAGTTTGTGGATGGGCCATGTGGTGTGATAGCCGAAGAGCTGGCCAGAGTATCACCCCTGCTTCTCCTGGTGCTGCCAACGCTGTGAGCAAGATTATCTCTGAGGTGAATGGGAAGCTCATTGGGATGGCCTCTGTTGTCCCCACTCCCACTGAGGATCTGATCTGCCACCTGGAGAAAGCTGCCAAGTATGATGATATCAAGAAGCAGGCGTCAAATGGTCCCTTTAAGGGCATTCTGAGGACCAGGTTGTCCCTGCAACTTTAACAGTGACACAGTGAATCCGTCTTCAATGCTGGAGTTGGTATTACCCTCAAGAACCACTTGTCAAACTTATTTCCTGGTATGATAGTGAATTTGGCTACAGCAACAGGGTGGTGGACCTTATGGTCCACATGGCATCCAAGAACTAAAAGCCCCATCAAGAGGAAGAGAGACCCTCAGCTGTTGGAGAGTCCATGCCTCAAATCGGACCTTCAACATACTAAGAATCTCCTGACCTCCACAGTTCCCATCCCAGACCCCTGAGGAAGGGGAGGGGCTTGGGGAGCTCCACCTTTTCATGCACCATCAATAAAGTTCACTGTACTCCCTCCCCCAAAGTCACTGATCACATGTATAGCATGTTTTGGGGATACTGAGAAAATTAATTTTGCTAAAGAGGGTTTCTACAGAGAAATAGTAAAAAAAAGGCTGGGAGTAACTTAATATGTTATGTGCCAATTACATCTAAATTTTCTTTTCTTTTTTTAAATATATTTTATTGATTTTGTACAGAGTGGAAGGGAGAGAGATAGAGAGCTAGAAACATCGATGAGAGAGAGTCATCGATCAGCTGCCTCTTGCACACCCCCTACTGGGGATGTGCCTGCAACCAAGGTACATGCCCTTGACCGGAATCGAACCCGGGACCCTTCAGTCCCCAAGCCGATGCTCTATCCATTGAGCCAAACCGGTTTCGGCAACATCTAAATTTTCTTAAAAGGCAGGATATGGCAGGGAATTATGAAGCCAAATATGTGGAAATCGGAATATAAGATCAGGGGCATTTAAAAATTATATTTTACTCAGCAGGAATGTTATAAATTTTGATCAAGGGAATAGCAGTATAGTATGAGAAGGTTTTTTTGCAGAAAGATGCTTAATAGTCATATTAAATAATTTAATACCAAAATATTGTTTTGCAGATACTATTCCCATTTATTTCTAAATCACATGTCTCATTAAAGTCTGGATTTATGCTGGATACAAATGACCAAGGAATTATTTTGAGATCATAGGTTTGCACCTGTCTTCCTGTCAGTCATTTAGCATATTGCCCATTCATTGGGAGTCCATGAATTATCCCCCTCTCTCCACATCCTGCTGGTCCAGTTCTGTGAAACTGGAACTAATTATAGCCAGAGGTGAATGTCAAGAGTAACAATGAATGAGACTCCATGTAGCCAAAACCAGAATCAACATTGGGATAAACTGTTCTAAGTTCCTTTCCCAAGAGCACATCTCACCTGAGTTGCGGTAGCATTTACCTTCTGGGTGTATTTAATAACCCATTAATTTTATTTGCCACATGGGTGTCACTGTTTGTTCTTATTCGAGTTGAACTTATGTCAGGAAGTATAAATATCCAAAATTTTATGTCCTGTTAGTGATAGAAAAATGTCTTTTCACACTCCATTCCTCTATACCTGTTTCCTCTAGAATTTTCTCCTCTCTACCTTACCTCTATTCCCCTTTACAAACTTCTATTTAGCCTTTTAAACCTTTTTCAAACATGCCCACATAAACAAAAACTCTTTGAGACCAAATAGCTTGATAATAAATGTATTGATAATATTTAACTTTCTTCCCAGCTCCAAAATGTAAGGGTTCTCTGCTTGGAAAGCAGGTTAGGTAATATATAACTTTTGGAGGTCAGAGGCTCAGTGGTGAGCATCGACCCATGAACCAGGAGTTCACAGTTCCATTCCCAGTCAGGGCACACATGCCCGGGTTGTGGGCTCGATCCCAGTACAGTGCCTGCAGAAGGCAGCCAATCAATGATTCTCTCTCATCATTGATGTTCCTGTCTCTCGTTCTCCCTCTCATTTCCTCTCTTTGAAATCAATAAAAAATATTTTTAAAAAGAATAATTTAAAAAATCTGAACATTCTATAAACTTAGATATACTCGATGTTGTATATACTATACATACTGGAGAAACTTTGTATTTTCTATTCATTTGCTGATGTTTAAATTTCCTAGTGATTTCTTCATGCTCTTGCATTGTTTTCCTGGTATTTTTCCAGTCTGATGCATTTGGAGAAAGGTGGTCAGTGTAGATGCTATTCTGACCCCAGGCACTTATTTGCTGTCAGATCTTTGGCAGGTCTTGCCCTAGGTCTCCATGACCCACAGCTGTCACAGAAGAGTAATGCTTGCTTTGTGGGACAGTGAGGAAGGACACAAGACCCAGACAACAAAGCCTTTTAAAAAGTTAAAAGTCCTCCTTGGGGTCCTAGCTAGTGTGGGTCAGTTGGCTGGAGCATCGTCAACTTTTTATTTATATTACATTCAAACTACCCATAAGGCATGGCCACCCTTGAGACCTTAGATACACACAACAGTCCTTTGTAGTAAAGAAGACTGTTGGTGCCTGGCCAGCATGGTTCAGTGGTTGAGCATCCACCCATGAACCAGGTCTCAGTTTGATTCCTGGTCAGTGTATATGCCCAAGGTTGTGGGCTCAATCCCCAGTGTGGGGTGTGCAGGAGGCAGCCGATCAATGATTGTCTCCCACCATTGATGTTTCTCTCTCTCTCTCTTCCTCTCTGAAATCAATAAAAATATATTTTAAAAATAAGACTTGGATTTTTATTGATAGATCTCTACCCCAGATGTCTGTAGGTTTATGTGGGGTTATTTGTTGCCTCTCAAGAAGGGTCTTCCAGGGGGCAATGTTAAAATATGTACACAAATAATAATTTAATTTAAAAAAATGTAAAAAAAAAAAAAAAAAGGATCTTCCAGGCAAACATGCAGGAGTATAAAGCCTGGTTTGAAAGCGTTTGAGTATAGGTGGGAGAATAGAGCTGGGCAGTGGTGAGGCACTGTGGTGCTTCTCTGTTCAGTATGCAGACTTTCATTCATCTTGTTTTAAATCCACTGCTTTAATCTGGCCCTTTGCTATTTTCTCCAAAGAATAAACCTCCTGTATTACAGGGCTTGGGAGAAGTCTCTGGGCTGTGCTTGTGGGGTGGGATCTGCAAGTCTTAATTGCTCCTTATATCTCTCCCTTGGGCTGTCTCCGCCTTGCAAAGTACTGTATCTGACACCTAGTTCCTGAGCCTTTCCTGGAGGTCTCCCCAAAGTGAGTCCACTTACTTCCGGGTATTAGACTTGAGTCCTAACCACCCTCCTCCCTACTCTACTCCCATGCAAGGCTTCCAGTTTTCCCTGGTTACCATATCTCTATCCCTTTGCATCTTCCCAACGATATTGACATCTCTCATCCGTTTTCATCTTTCTCATGCTCTTATCCTTGTAGATTCTCATCCATTTTGTACTTTCAGTGTCATGTTCCAGAAATTCCTGTGTTCACTTCACCCATATTTAATAAGCAGCTGTTTTTTAAGCCAACCAGAGCTATGCAATGTAATACTCTGCAGTTGTTAACTGGAATAACAGCAACATGTATGGATCTGTGAGTGGGCAATATAGAAAATTAAATGAAAAGAGAAAGCTACAGGTTGGTATATATGATACAATTTTCATTAAAATTTTACATATATAAACACACATATACATATGTTGTATATGTTATATAAAATATATTCTCTTTAGCATTGTCTGAGACAATCTACTAGGTGTACTGGTTAGTAATAGCGGATTTTGTAATAAAGCCATTCCCTCCCTATCCCTGGCGGAATAGCTCTGTTAATTAGAGCATTGTCCAGATACACCAATGAATGCATAAATAAGTGAAACAACAAATTAATGTTTCTCTCCCTTCTTCTCTCAATCAATAAAATTTTTTTAAATTAATTTTAATTTTTAAATTAATTAATTTATTTTTATTGATTAAGGTATTACATATGTGTCCTTATGTCCCCATAAAGAACCGCAGGCTTGAGTAGGAAGGAGGATGGCCTTTGAGATGGGAGTCCCATCATTCTCTCAGATCCATGGCACCTGAATTAACCTTTTTCATTTTGCACCAGCACCTGTCTCATTAGTTTGGCTTTCCTTGCAGGTGGCAGACAAAGTGATTCCTGGTCAGACCATGTGCCCAGGTTGTGGGCTTAATCCCCAGTCTGGGTGTGTGCAGGAGGCAGCCCATTGGTGTTTATCTCTCACATTGATGTTTCTCACTCTCCTTTCTTCCTCTCTCTTTAAAATCAATAATAATATATTAAAAATAAAAATAAAAATCTGATGCTGAGGCCGAACCTTTAACAGGGTTGTTAAAGTTGAGTCTTTAACAGGGTTTCTCAACCATGGCCCTACTGACCTTTGAGATTAGACAATCCCTTGCCACAGGGGACTTTCCTCTGCATTGTGGGATTTTAGCACCATCCCTGGGTCTGACACACTAAATGCCAGTTGAATCCTCTCCCAATTGTAATAACCAAAAGACATTGCCAAGTGTTTCCTGGTGGGAGGAGCAAATCACCCAATTGAGAATCATTGCTATAGGGGCCAGGATCCAGGCATCATATTTTTAAAATCTTCCCAGGTGATTCAATGTGCAGTCAAGTTTGAGAATCAATGCTCTGATGGAGTTTCCTTTGGGAAGTATATCCTGATGGAAAGTCCTGGGAATTTTAGAGTAGGTTTCTATAAACTATGATTTACTATTAACTCAGCAAGAATGGATCTATTCTGGGCCAGATGAGCAGTTCCACTCATCCTATCTAGTAAAACTATTTCTTTCTCTCAAGGGGACTTTGGGGAAAAAAGAGGCTCTGAACATCTCAAGAAGCTAGCAAAGCCAGCTGAGCTTGAAACACAGAGAACCTTTACTGCAAGCCAATGAAAGAGACTCAAACTAATGAATGGTCTAACCAAGCATGTCAAACTCATGGCCGGTGGAGTTTAACATGCTTGCTAAGCAATATTTGAGGACCCACAGGGTGTACCTTATTGATGCCAAGATAATATTGACTGGAGATGCCTTGTAGGCCAGGATCTTGTGATAGGGGATCTGTTTACATGCCATCAAATACATCTAAGTTATAAATAATATGTTAATAAATTAATCCTATATAATAAAAGGCTAATATGCAAATAGACCAAAGGGCAGAACAGCCATTCACTATGAAACACTAACCACTAGGGGGCAGACGCTCAATGCAGGAGCTGCCCCCTGGTAGTCATTGTGCTCCCACAGGGGAAGTGCCGTTCAGCTAGAAGCCAGCCTCACAGCTGGCAGCAGTGGTGGCAGCACTAAGAATGTCCGGCTGCTGGCTTAGGCCCTCCCCGCCAGTCAGACATTCCCAAGGGCTCCTGGACTTTGAGAGGGCACAGGATGGGTTGAAGGAGCCCCCCTGCCAAGTGCAGGAATTTTGTGCACTGGGCCTCTAGTATTAATAATAAATAGGTCTAGTTTAAGGAGTAGACATGTCGATACTTCTGAAACACTTTTTAACCCTAACTTGTGTACAAAAACATTTATACATTTTGAGTATGCGCCTCAGTATCATTGTGGCAGAAACTACAGTTGTGCTCTTTCTACACCCTTCCATCCTCTTTTCTAATAAGGACACCAGAAAGCTAAATACTTGCTTTCCAGATTTCCCTGCTGGTGGGAGTAGCCATGTGACATAATTTTGGCCACTAAGAATGCAAGCTCTATGAAGACAGATTTTTGTGTGTGTCTATTTTGTTCTTTGCTGGTTAAAACTCACCAAATCTAACACTTTAAAAAATGTCCACCCCAGGTGGGGGAAAAGACAGATGTTGTTTAAGGGTACAAACTTGTAATCAACAGTAAATAAATCCTAGAGATCTATATGCATAGCATAGTGATTGTAGAAAACAATATTGTATTACAATCCTTAAACTTGCCAAGAGACCAGAACTTAATTATTCCAACACTAAAAAAATGATAATTATGTAATGTGGTAGAGGTGTTAATTATTGTCACAGTAGCAGTCATATTACAATATATAAATGCATCAAATTAACATGCTGTGCACCTTAAATTTACACAATGTAAACTATGTTTCAATGAAAAAAAAAAGTCCAGGTTATGTACATCAGGTTTATTTCAAAATTTTAAAAAATAAAAGAGCAATTGTTAATAAATTACAAATTGAAAAACAAACAAAAAAATTTTTTGACCCCTGAGAGGAAGACAGACACCAAGACCCTGTTTCTCTAAAGTTTAGGTTAAATTGCAGCGCTGAGATTTATCTTGCTAACACTAGATGTCACCATTGTGCTGTGCAAAAGTAGCTGACCCTCAGGAGTGCTTTTTAGTATTTTCAGCACAGTGTCAGGTTGTTCAAGTTTTTGAAGATTGTTCATCCTCATTCCACTCATGCCAGACTATGATTGCTGTGGCCTTATTAAAACTCCCTGAACCTTGATTTTTTTTCTTGGTTATAATTCATTCTACACCCCTGTGCCCAGTACTGCATGGGGCCAAGTTAGAAGCAAAGGAGGGTGCCAGTCACCATGCTCTGTGCTCCAGATAAAGAATACCCTGTGCCATGGTTCTCACCTCCAGGTCTCTGTCTAGGACCCGTGCTTGCATCTCTCTGGAGGCCTCTGGGGCTACATTTTAATAATGGACTTATGATTCTGCAGACACCAGAGTGATTCAGATAAAGTATAATAACAGTGCAAGTTGCTTGAATCAAGTTTCATTAGTTCCAGTTGTTGCTTTCTCCACAAGAAATTAGTCTATAATTTTCCATAGCTGTCCTTTAATAAATACTAAGAACCAGTGACATTTTGTGGTGCTTACTTAAAAATTCAAACCCAGGCGCTTGGCTTTGGAGCCCATGCTGTAACCACCATGCAATGTAGTCCCCCTTTTTCCACTGCCTTTTTATTTTTTTATTTTTCCAGCTTCACTGTGTG